TATAAAATATATAATAATAATATAAAATATATAACAAAATTTAAGAAAATATATAATAAATATAATTAATAAAAATTCGACTAATAAAAATTGACTAATAAAATTTAAAATGTACTAATAATATTTAACTAATAAAATATAAAATATACTAATAAAATTTCACTATATTACAGTATGTCAAATAGCAGATCGAATAACATGATTTGACATATTGAATAGCAGTTGAATGTTGCTATTCAACATATCAAATTTTTTAAAATTTACCAGTGTTAATTGCTATTCAGTTTTTTTTTCTTTTATTTTCTTGAATTTTTTTAATTTTTAGAATATAAAAATTATTTACGACAAATCTCACAAATTAAATGAAAATAACGATAATAGAAATAATGATGATGAAAATAACAGAAAGTTGTCTGAATCTTACTATGAAAGTGATCAAAGCAATAGTATTGATGAAGATTGTGATGATGATAATGATAATTATATTGAATAGAGGCAGAAAATAAGAATAATAAATAGCTATAGAAGGTTGTTTTACTTGAATAGTCATAGTTATATAACTCACTGTTTAATAAATTAGTTAATGGCATATTGTTAGTTTACTAGTTTATTAACACATTAGCTAATAAATTTGCAAGTTTTTTAAACTATATTAAATAATAAAAATAGTTGTTTAATATATTATTCTGAAGTATTTAAATAGTATTGATTAATGTTGTAAGTTATTTAACACAATAAACTTTGTTGTTAAACATATTAACTAACTAAAATTAGTTGTTTAATACTAATTGCTTAATATAGTTAGTCTGTATAGAGTTTGTTTTTTATACTAATTTAGTATTAAATAATATTATGTATAAACTAATACTTTTCAAATATCTTTGAAACTTCCTGATATAGTACTGTTTTGTCAAAGTAGCTAGGAGTTAGTCACCACATGCTTTCTTCTTCAAAGTGAACTATCCAACTTTCTTGAAGTGTTTTAAATCTTTCTTAATTCTAGTAGATAATTTGGATATAAGCCGTCTTGGATTTTTTAACCTCCTGTTGTGACTTTTTCCACTCAATGATATTTGCTTTACTATAAAAGTTAAGGCTTCTTCTTATTCTACTAGCCCATATATCTATTGGCAGATTCTATAAAGTTAACTTGAGTTCTGGTTTAAGGCTTTGGGTTATTTTTTTATTAGTCAGATTCTTGGAAGTTTCTTCTTTCAATAGCTTTTTTTCTTTCAATAGTTCTTCTTTAAATTTATTTTCTGGAGCTTAGATTGATTTGTTAATATTTTTAGATGTCTATCTAGATCTATGTATATCTTCGTATATGAT